CGATGATCCCATGAAAATTCTGCGAATAATTTCTAGTGAATCCTGCAGACATGCTTGGCATGCACAGTTGTACACAATAGTCGCTTATTTGTTAATAACTTTTCACTCAGTTGTTGAAATTTGTATTTCTTTAAAATAATTGATAGATTAGGATCATAGTTTACAATAAATATGCAAGGAGTAGGTAAATTTTATCATATGTAAAAAAACCGATGAGTTTTTACACTTGAAGTCCGAGATGTGCAGCGAGCATTTCTCACTTAATTTTTACTACGCAAAAACAAATACAGTTTATTACTAAAATTAAAATCTACTTTTTTTTACGTTATCTATTCTATCTACTGCTTTAAAAAGAACTATATTTCGTCAACTGTGTGCAAAGTTATAAGCAAATGAGCAGTTCGTGATCAAATCTGTGCCAAGCATGCCTGCAGATAGTTCCAAAATAATTTCGAAAAGAATACCGAGAGAATCAAATTTTGAATGTAATTCCAAAGGGTTGTTGGGGAAAATTTCAAGAAAATTCCGAGGACAATTTCAAGCTCATTTGGGAAGAATTTCTGGAGAATTCAGAGGAAATTCTTCTTAAACTGTAGGGGAATTTCAGTTCCAAGGTGTTCTGAGAAAAAAAAGTCCTGAAATATTCCAAGTTTATTGAATTATAAGAACAGTTTCAAATTATTTCTGGAGGGAATTCAAAGAAAATTCTGCGGATAATTTCTATTGCATCCTGCAGATAGTTCCAATATAATTTCGAAAAGAATGCAGAGTAAATCAAATTTTGAGTGAAATTCCAAAGGGATTTTAAACCAAATTTCAAGCGAATTCCGAGGAAAATTTCTAGCTAATTCAGTTCCAAGGTGTTCTGAGAAAAAAAAAAGCATGAAGAGTTCTAAATATAATTCCAGTGGACTTCTGGGAAGAATTTCAAAAGAGATCTTAGGAGAGTTCTAAAAAAATCCGTGAAGATCCTCAAGGATATTGAATTCTGAGGACAGTTCCAAAGGATTTCTGGAGAGTATTCCAAGAAAATTCTGCGAATGATTCCTAGGCATTCCTGCAGATAGTTTCAAGATAATTCCGAAAAGAATACCAAGAAAATTAAATTTTGAGTGACATTCCAAAGGGATATTGAGGAAAATTTCGAGGCAGTACCGATAATTTCTAGCTCATTCCGGGAATAATTTCTGGAAAATACTGAGAAAATTTTTCTTATTGAAAAGTGGGTATTAATTTGCCATTGAACCTTGGTGGATTGTTGTCTTACTAAGAATTTGTCTAAGAATCTTCTCTGAAAATTTCAAGTCATTTGTTATCGTGGTTACAAAGTTACAGCTGTTTATGTGCGTTGCAATAAATTCGGGTTTGTCCTTTATATTATCTTGAAAACATGTTGAATGGTCGGCATCATTTTCTGTCACCCCGACTGGCGGTACTTAGGGACAGGGTTGACATGCACAATCCTTCACACAAGTTGTCATTCCGTCAACAATCATTTACACGCTCGTCAAAATAATTTTGCGAAGAAAACCAGCAAATGAGACGAGTGATTGTGACCACCACGAGCAGTTTGCGATAAGTGCAGGTATATTGATAATGTGGGTGTGAGACGGGTGTTGAAAACAGACGCGATGACCATCTTCAATACTATTGCTGAGGTCCTGACAGCGATGCAGATTTCTTGGGAGCAGGTGTTAACAGTATATTTTGACGGTGCCAGCCCAATGGCTGGCAGCACTGCTGGAGTACAAGCCAAGTGCAAGGACGAAAACAGCAATATACTTTTATGAAGATCGTTGAGTGTGTCGGTTTATTTTCTTTTGACAGATACGCGTATTTCGTCTACTACTTGCAAACTTCATCAGTGCTAAGTACTCAATACCACTGATCAAGATTGGATTGATCAAGAGCAATATATTGTTTGTTCACTGCTATGCGCACTGTTTGAACCTTGTACTCGACGCAGTGTGCATCTTCTTCTTATTCTTCGCATTTCAAGCTTATTGCATATCGCATATTAGCTTATTGCGTGCTCTCAACTTAGTGTTCTAGATGCATTTCCACAGTTATTAATTGAGAGCTTTCGATGCCTGTACCATTTTTGCATTGGTATAATTGTGTGGCAAGTCCAATCATACTTCTACGCCCAGAGAAGTCAAGAAATTTTCCAACCCGAAAAATTCTTAGACCGGACCGGGAATTGAACCCAGCCAACTCCAGCATGGTCTTGCTTTGTAGCTGCGCCTTTACCGACTGAGCTAAGGGAGGCCCCAGTGTGCATGCGGAAGGAAAATGCGATTCTTATTGGTCATTCATTCGGTGCTATCACCATCATCTGTCGTGACTTCAGCTGAATCCTACCACCAAGGCAACAACATTGCAGCAAATGTATCATTTCGGATAAAACCCTACTATCGCAACCATTTGACAAACCGATCATCATCGACATCGTCGATGGGATTAAATTGCCAATTTCCATTGGCTGTCTGAAAGCAGTTTGCATTGAAAAAGATGATCCACCACCGGAGCAAAAAATAAATAAAGCTAAATTGAACAGTAGGGAAAAATTGGGAGGACGACAGCACCATGAACCACGTACTTTGGAGTACTCCCCATCCCCAGATTAAATGCACCATAGAAAAAAATGCCCCTCCTTAACAAGATTCCTGTGCACGCTAGTGTTTAGTTCAGTCAGTTAAGGCACAGATACAAAGCAAGATCATGCTGGAGTTGGCTGGGTTCAATTCCCGGTCCAGTTTACGAATTTTTCGGGTTGTAAAATTTCTCGACTTGCCTGGGCATAGAGTATGGTTGTACTTGCCTCCAAAGATATCTAATTAACAGAGGTGAACCAGCCTTTAGGCTAAAAACCTCTTAAATAAAAAAAAAGATATCTAATTAACAAGATATCCCACTAATCGATTCCTTGAACAAGGCAATAGATACACCACCTTTACGTGACTACAGTGCCATTTGATGAGTGCACATTGAAACACCCGCCAACTTCACCACCAGGTATCAATAACTGACAGATGCCAGCGTGGACGTTGATGATCAGCCAAGGGAAGAAGAAGATATTATTCTCGATGTCATCATCATTAGATTGCGATACCATGGTTCACACTTTTTTGTGATTGCTCCGTTTTTTAATTATTATCACTTTATACGCAAAAGAAACACTTGGAAAAACAATCACACATCCAAGCTCGCATCATGATGAGCTTGTAATATGTTCTGCTTTCGAGAGAAAAAATTTCCCTCTTAATTGATGATTTGCGAAGCTGCTACTCAAAATAATCTTTATAAGCATTTACTTCTATGGAATAAACATTCCTTCTCCAAAAATAATTATTCCAACACCGCAGTCACTGGAAATGCAACGTATCGAAATCATTGCTAAGCAACAACTAAAAAAAACTCTACCTATTGACTCATCAAACTCATGGACTGGGGTCCACCAGATTTATTTCCTTTCCGAAGGAAGGCGTAATCAGAGATTTTATGCCTAAGAAAATCCCACGCGTTACGTTACGTTGGAGTAACGATTACTTTTCCTTTTTGATTGCACGTCAGGATAATTAGGGATTAATTAATTAGGAAGATGATGTTCCAGCGACATGATCCATCAACTGCTCAGCAGGCAACATTGTTATACTTGGCGCGAAAAATAGGGAAAACAATTCAGGCTACTTTGTCAAGTGCATGATGCAGTGTTACCCTGAAAGCAGTCCTAGTTAATCCTATCAGAAAGTTATTGGTTTCGAAATCAAATAAAATCGAATTACCATGAGTTCAATCAAAAAGTGGCCTATAACAAAGTTGAAGCAGATAAAGTTTCCCATAAGAGTAGATAGAAAACGTTTCCGTAGATCATTACTGCAAAGGGCTAGAACGTTGAAAACAGAAATTTGGAAATTCTCATACACACTTCAAAGGGCCAGTGCAGTATGAGTTTGCATTCAAATGAACTAAAATGTTGAGAGAATTGTCAAAACCTGATTTGGAGTCGATTGAGCTTGGTGGAGCAAAATAGATATTTTTAGCCACCCCACATTTAAAATCGTTCAGTACTGATAAATCCAGGTATTGATTACACAACTCATAGCTTAAGTTTGTCTTACGTTTCAAAAGTTATGAATTTTGAACAATTTTCACTGTCAACTTTTTCTGATATTGTATTGTTTAGTTGATTGTTTCAAATTATTTGTAATTTAAAGAGGAATTATAACTTTTTCAAAGCGATGCTGAGTAATGTGTGATAAAATAAGACCTTTTTCATTATTAAGAAGATTAAGAATTACTAATGAAATGAAAAATGTTGGAAGATATAGACTGTGTCTCGCTGTAGCTTACATATTTTAAAACCGTTATTTAATTCAATTCAACATAATCACCTATTTATACTGTTAAAGACTTTAAAACAAGTTGTTTCTGAATTGTTTGGAAAAATTAGAAGATACTGAGAGCAAAGCACACATGATCGGTAGGACGCATTACCAATTATACTACGGGACCGATAAGGTGCACGTAATATTAGACAAATGCCATGTATGCAATCAAACCCGTTTTTCCATTATCACATTTAATTTGAAAACTTTCTACACTGTACACACTGATCACAAAATTACACGATTCATTAAATGTTACATCTTAGTTGTTAATCAATCATCAACCTAACAAGGATCAATTTTAGGTTGGTGTCAATCTATATCTAAACAAGAAATCACCAAATTTCTCGTCAGGAATTTTGAATTATTTTTTCTATACATGTTGGAAACAATCCATTGCTCACATTTTCCTGAGATTGTAAATTTCCATAACAATCACTGAACTAAAATTTTCACCTTCGCACTTTAAGCTTTAGATTGTATGACTTTGACTAGGTTAAATTTGATATTTTTTGTATAAGTTATAATTATGTTTTATCCACTTCGATACCACTTCCAAACATTTTTTTCTATTTCACCAATTTTCCTCACATGCTACCGAAATAGACTCACCAGAAATGTCTTCATTATCACGACCGTTTGTGTCAACACTCCTCTCTAATAAACAGTCTATTGCACTACTATTCCACTCTTCCAGAGGGAACGGGTTCGCCACTTATCACAATTTTCCCACGTCTGTTGACACGGTGACAATCGCGGGTCGAATCACTATCCGGGAAGATTCGTACTGTTCTTTTATACAGAGTATCAAATGTTGTTAGAACTCTATCATCAAATTCCAAACCTAGAACGGCAGCAGCCAGGCAGGGTGGCGACGACGATGGCGACGGTGCATTCGTGTAGCAATTATCATATTTATAGCATCATCATCATTACCATTGGCACCACCATCCAACGAGGAGTAGTATGGTAGGCGGGTAGTGCTGCTGACTGCCTGATGATGTCTACCACCCCATTCGTTTGTAATGCAACACGCGGCATCTTTTCTTGGTTGTGGCGTCATCGACTGCGAAAACACGCTCCCGAATAAACGTGCTTTATGCTCTTCGGTACATTCGGTAACCCTGATGGCGTCTCCTGGTTTCGATATTGGGAAGAGTGTAAACAGTACATGATTTAGCAATGATTCTCACCACCCAATTACAGCTTTCAATTGCGATACTTGTGTTTTCACGGATGGAAACGGCCATCGACGAACGAAAACCGGGAGAATCCGTTTGGAGATGATGATTTATTCCCTGGACGTACCGTACCGGATTATTGGAAAATCATCACCGTAGTCATCGGTCGTCTTCTTGATCGTCATTATTGTGTTAGCTTTAGCAGAGCTGGCTGGTGGCAGTAAATTGCTCACTCACGCTGGTGTCGGGGTCTGGGGTGTTGATTGAAATGGAAAGTTGATTGTCTTATCCGGGCGGGTGGCGATAGGCGTTGGGTTGTTGAGAGCGCACCTTTTGCCTCTGGGTACCTTCGGGGAAATTCGATGATAAAGCACTGTTGTTGATCATACACAGTCGGTGCTTTGCTATAGTAATTCATTATTTGTAGCACGAATAGAGGCTTACGTCGTGAAGCTTGCAGAACAATAAGCACAGCGTAGTCAGTGGTAGAGGAACAAAATTTTCCATTTAACTTGTGCATTACCGAGAAAAGATGCAATAGATCTTAGGCATGCATAATTAATCGTTTTAAGAGCAATCTCAAAGCACTCTTGCTTCAACCGATTCAAAGAGTCATAACCTGTTGAAATTAGATTTACATACCGGTGATGGGATCTCAATCAGGTCTATCTCAATATTCATTCTACGAAAATACTTCATTGTGGCATGACAATATTTATTTAATTATTATCATTATTCATCTGACTTAGGACTAGAAAAGGATAGTTTTGGAAAAGCCCATTTATCTGTGTATACAAACGCCAAACTAAACGCAAATACATCGACCGTAAATATGAATTTTGTAAACCCTCTGTACATGTTTCTTACGATAAATCTTCAATCTGACTGTAACGAACAAAATAAAATCAATGTATGGTGAATTGACAGTTATGATGCAAAATATTCCGATTGAGATTAAAATAATTTAATTTTCATTTTGATTACACTCATGATTAGTACTTACCAAAGAATCATAACAGACACGAAAATGCGATTATCATATTCAATAGTGATAATTTTAGCTGTTCGATTTTTTTACAATATATAATAAGGCGCTAACGTGATCAAAATCATAGCGTCTGGAAGCATTCGATCATTTATTTTTTTACATTTTTCCGTTATCAAAAGTAGAATGAGTGACATATCTTAATAGTTCATAATTCTTCATAATCGTCAGATGATAAAACATGGCCCACTTAGTAATGGAATAACATCATTTGGGTCTATTTCAGATTTGAATTAATAATATAAACGATTTTTATTCAAGTGCATACTATTCATTATATTTTAAGAAAAACACGAAACGAATTATTATTCGTGGTTTCGAAGGAATTCTCGAACTTTTCCCTTAATACGACCCATCAAGCGACGCCTCCCTTAGCTCAGTCGGTAAAGGCGCAGCTACAAAGCAAGACCATGCTGCAGGTGGCTGGGTTCGATTCCCGGTTCGGTCTAGGAATTTTTTCGGGTTGGAAAATTTCTCGACTTCCCTGGGCATAGAAGTATGATTGGACTTGCCACAAAATTATACCAATGCAAAAATGGTACAGGCATCGAAAGCTCTCAATTAATAACTGTGGAAATGCATCTAGAACACTAAGTTGAGAGCACGCAATAAGCTAATATGCGATATGCAATAAGCTTGAAATGCGAAGAAGAAGAAGAAGAAGAAGAAAGTGACGCACAACGGTCTCGTCCACTGTTTTGGCGATTTCATCCCAACAATTTTTTATCTGAGCTGCCGTTTTGATGACTGTACCTTTTACCTTCAGTTTCCTCTTCATAATACACCAGAAAATTTCTCGGGACAATTGGGCTGATTGAGGGTTGTCGGAACAAACTGGACTCCATTATCAATGTACCATTGTTTTTTTTTTTTTTTAATATATTTATTTATTTCGTCAAGCCAGTGTAGACTACATACAATGATTATTACAATGTTTACTTACATTACATTACTCATTAATTCTATTCTGTTTTAGCTTAGTTTTTATTTGCTGCTTGGACACAGTGATGTCAATAGTTCCGCAATGCAAATTATATAGGCGCATCATTCGATTGATTGGGCTATTTTTTGCATAGTTTGTTCTGTACGATTTTTCTGAAAATAAATTCCGTGTTCTAAGATATCGACAAGGTGTGTAAAAGTTTAATTGTGCGAGAATTTCTGCCTAATCTATGCGCATTGAAATAATGTCGTTGATGAAGAAAAGCATTGCAAATTGGCGGCGCTCCTTAAGTGTTTGTATATTGATGAGCATGCAGCGCGCTTCATAAGATGGTAATGGAAAAGCAGTCCAATTCAATTTACGTAAAGCATATAAAAGGAATTGTTTTTGGACAGATTCTATGCGTTCTTCGTGTATGGAAATGTATGGATTCCATACTAGGTGGCAATATTCCAGAATTGGCCTTAGATATGTGGTATATAAAAGCTTAATAATGTATGGGTCTTCGCAATTATGACTGAACCTTTTGATGAAGCCTAGCATACTGTTTGCTTTACTAATGATAGTATTATAATGTTCTATAAAAGTTAGTTTGGAGTCTAGGATTACACCTAGATCTCTTACAATTTTGCTTTTTTCTACTATTTGGTTGCCTAATGATATTTCAATATGCGGTGTTTCAATTTTTTTGCTAAATGCTATTGCAGTACATTTTTTTACGTTCAGTTGAAGTAGACTTTTACTACACCAGGTGTGGAATATATTGATTTCATTCTGGAATTCTTCTGCATCGCTAGAATTACTTATTTACATAAAGAGCTTCATGTCGTCTGCATATACAAGCAATTTTATTTTTTTTAAGTATGTAGGAAATGTCGTTTATGTACAAAATAAAAAGAAGTGGGCCTAAATGAGAACCCTGGGGTACCCCAGAGGTGACTGAAATTGGTTCTGAAAGTTTATTTTGAAAGCGGACTATTTGTTTACGATGTGTTAGGTATGATTGAAGCCAATTCAAAAGTCCAGGCTCCATTCCTATTTTCTGCAATTTGAGGATTAATAATGGTATGTCGATGCGGTCAAATGCTTTACTGAAGTCGGTGTATAGCTCTTCAACGTGCTTGCCACTGTCCAACGCTTTAATAATGAAAGATACATATTCTAGAAGATTAGAGGTAGTTGAGCGACCTTTAAAAAAACCGTGCTGTTTACTTGTAATTAGATTTTTCACCTGCTGAAAAATATTGCCTTTTACGATTGATTCAAAAAGTTTTGGAATGCAAGAAATAATAGCAATTCCACGATAATTTCAAATATCTGATTTTGCACCTGATTTGAAAAAAGGTACCAAATAAGATGATTTCCAAATTTCAGGGAATTTCCCATTTTTCAGAGACATGTTGAAAAGACGCTCTAGAGGAAATGCGAGTTCTTCAGAAAGGTTTTTCAAAAATATGGGTGCGATGCCGTCAGGTCCAGACCCTTTCGACGCGTTTAAGTTTTTTAGTGCATTGAGGACTTCATGTTGAGAAAGTTGGTTGACAGAGATGTTTTTAGAAATTTCAGGAATGAATGCAAAGAAATCGCGGTCACGATCTTCTTCGGAAAATGTGGTGTATACTTCTTGGAAGAAATTTGCAAAGAGATTGCAAATTTCAGAAGAATTCTCACCTACATTTGCATCCAAATTCATTCGCGAAGGAAAATTGCTGCTTTTTAATTTCGTGTTTACATAATTAAAAAAGTTCTTAGTTCTTATTTGACTTCATTTTCGACTTTGCGGTTATAGTCCTCATATGCAGAGTTGATGGCTATATTTAATTGGTTGCATAAGTTGTGATAGTTTCGCAAATTGGTCTCAGTTTTTTCTTTTTTCTATAGTTTATGAGCTTTCTGTTTTGTACTTCCCGGTTGTTGTGACAACTCGCGAAATTCGGCCAAAATATCACCGGGCCATCATGTGATAGCATGAAGGGCAGAATTCGCTTCTTGGGACAATCGGTTTTGTAAACCTCCGAGTTCATCATTTTCTCAGTGAGAAAAACCTTTGTCTTCTGGCCGCAGCTGCAAATTCCCTGCCAAATCATATATTTGCGTGCGAACTTATCCGCAAAAACAAATCTGAATTTGCCAGGGACACTTCTTGGAGCCTTCGCCTTGTAAAATGTTGGTCCTGGAAGCTGTCCGAAGTCGAAATGGTCAGCAGGTTGTCTTACTACTAGCTACGGTATTCTGCTTGAGTGATCGATTTGGTTGCCTACTGGCGCGGTATGCCTGTAAGACTGCGTGGTAGAGAATTCGCTGCATCATCCTTTTTTCTCAAATCGCGATCGGACATACCTGGGTTGCTTCTGATGGACCTCACGACCTTTCCATGGAGCTGACGGTTGGCAGTTCCATTCCAGCATTAACTTTGAGGCTTCCGATTCGTCGTCAAGGTTTCCCTGTACGTTTTGAGGCGCGTATAGTGTTTCTAGGAAATTTCTATACTTTAGCCAGCTTGGACGTGGACCACGATGCATTTTCCAGGTGACTGTGTACGATATTTTTCTACGCTCCTCTTGCATGCTACTTGCATTATTATGTCTCCAAAACAAGAGCGTTTTATGAACTGATATTGTTGT